TATAGAGAAGGTAGAAAGCAACTTCTGAGAGCTATCTGTTTCATCAGACTACTCTATTATTTACTGGACTGTGTCAAGCAGTAAATCGAAGCTGTCCTCTACCTTCATCGGCCGCTCCCAGCACATTTCTGTGAAATGACTTAATGATTTATTTCAGCTATTCCCTATGTCTTGAAATGGTTTACTAACAGCAATTGTCCATGTAAGCACTATTTTCTTTCTATAGGAAATAAATTCCTTGCAGTGGGAAATAGAGTTTGATCAGAATAGATTTAAAAATATAGAGGAATCCTGGATCCAAAAATATGACAGGTTTGTATTTTATTGTTTCATAGTTTTTATTTGAAACTCTTTTAAAATTTATATAATTTAACTGTAGGTTAAAAATTTTTTTTTCCTTTATGTTAAGTATAAATATTGTAAAATTCTTATTGCTTATCCAAGTTTTTCTGTTAGTGTTAATTTTAACTTCTATTTTTTAAAACATCCAATATAAAAATGTATTTTCAAATATAGTATAAGAGGTAAACCATAATTATTTTAGCATTGGAGCTATTTGTTTTTTAAGCAAAATCTTTTGAGCCACTCTTTTATTAGTATGGATTTATTTCTTAAATTTAAAATATTACATATAAAGTAAATCCTTGAGAAATTGATTTGATGTTTGAGATTATCTATCACTTCACTGCCTAATTTTAAATTTTATCATTGTTTTGTTTGAAGTAATTGATGACTTAAGATTAGCTGCTAGAATAGTAGTCACACAATTTCTGTGTATCTTCACCCAAAGTCTCCAAATTTTAATTTCTGGCCACATTTGCTTTAGCAGTCTATATGTCTGTCTGTCTATATGTCTCTCTACATATAGCTATAGAAAGAAACCCTCTTTAGGGTTTCCAGAGACCTTCTGGTGGGTTTGAACAACTGACCTTGTAGTTAACAGTCCAGTGCTTATCCCACAATGCCATAACAGGACTCTATATGTATATGGTGTCCTGGTGGGGCACTGCAGGATAAGCAGTAGACTGCAATTGTTTGAAACCCAAGTTTGTTTGAATTGCAAAGTTTTAATTGCAAATTCGAATTCACTAGCTGCTCCTTGGAACCTTTATCCAGGGTGCTATGAGTTGGAACCAACTCGATGGCACTTAACATATATCTATATATATATAGATATATGTTAAGCATAGTGGATTATGAGTTTGACTGCTAACCAAAAGGTCAGCAGTCCAAATCTACCAGCTTTCTGTTTCCCTAAAGAGTTACAGCCTCGAAAACCCTGTACAACAGGATTGCTATGAGTTGAAACCAACTCCACAGCACATCACCACTATATAAATATATATATATATATATTGTTGTTAAGTGCCGTCAAGTCGGTTGCATCTCATAGTGACCTTGTATAGGGTTTCCAAGGAGTGACTGGTGAGTTTGAAACACCAGCATTGCAGTTTAAACTGACTTTGCAGTCCAGAGCTATCCTACAGCACCACATTTAAAAGTTGCGTTTATGAGGCACCCTTACACTAAATGGAATCCTGGTGTGGTGCTGTTAGATAAGCACTGGACTGCTAACCATGGGTTGGTACTTCAAGCCCACCAGTTGCTCCTTGGAAACCCTATTTACAGTTGCTGTGAGTTAGAAATGACACGATGCACTTCTTAACAAAAATCCTAAATATTTGTTTATATAAAACAAAAAGGACATTCTCTTTCATAGCCATATTCTAGTAATCAGAACCAAGACATTAACACTGACACAATAGTATTAATTTAATCTACAGATCTTATTCAGATTTGGCCAATTGTTCGAATAATGCCCTTATTTGGCCAATTGTTCTAATAATAGCAAGAGAGACTGTTTCTCTGGTTTCAGGATCCACATTGCATTTGGTGACTATGACTAAATTTTAATAATTTCCTTGATCTAAAACAATCCCTCAATCTTTGTCTTTCATGCCATTGACATTTTGGGGAGAGTACAGGCCAATTGTTTTATATTGTTAAATGCCATCAGTTCCAATTCCTGGCAACCCTTTTTAGAGTTTCCAAGGAGTGGCTGGTGGATTTGAACTGCCAGCCTTGCAGTTAGCAGTCCAGTGTTTATCCAACAGCGTCACACCAGGGTTCTCAATTGCTTTATAGTGCTGCACAGTTGTTTCATAGTGTGTCACAATTGCATATGTCAGTGTTTCTGGATTAGATTCAGGGCATGCATTTCTGGCAGGAGCATCACTGAGGCAATGTCGGCTCCTCAGTGCATCGTCGGCCAGGGGCTTTGGGTGTTGATTTGTCCCCTTTCTAGGGTGTTAAGCTTGATCCCTCTATATCTTTTTGGGCATGGTTTTAAAAGCGGCCTAAACATATAGTTGGTGTTCAAATGGTTGCTAAGTTTAGGGAAAAGGTTAGTAAAGAGAATGAATATGCAAAACGGATGCCTTAGAGAGAGTTCTGATTTTGAGTGTTGCTCAACTAAGTACGTAGTTGTTGTGAAGTGCCGTCGAATCGGTTCTGACCCATAGCGACCCTGTATAGGGTTTCCAAGGAGCAGCTGGTGAACTTGAACTACCAACCTGGGTTCAAAGTGACTTTGCAATCCAGCGCATTAACCCACAGCACCACACCAGGACTCCTCCCATCAACTAAGTATAAAGTACTTAGTTTTACCACACTCCTTTAAAGTGTTTTACTTCTGCAACATGTAAATTCTGCACTGTTTTGAAGTGGGAAAATTTATATTTTGGGCTTTGTTTTCTGACTATGGAAATAAAAATATTCAAGTAGGAAATGTTCTTGCTTTATTTATTCAGAAGGAACTTTTTTCTTTTTCTAGACTTAACTGTGACCATGCAGTCCTCAAAGAAACTTTGAAACTGAAAACAGAAGAAGTTAAAATCCTAAAGTCTGAAAATGCAAGTAAGTATAGTGGTATTTCTTATGACTTTTATCACATATGTTAAAATATCAGACAACCTCATCTTTCACCTGTTAGTTTTATATAAAGTGTCCTATCTGAAAAAAAGACAAGGGTAAGTAAAAAAAAAAGTATTGTTACTACGGTTCTAATACGTACATGCATGAGTTAATCCCAAATAACACATGTTTAAACATGTCTCTGTGATAGGCAGATGGCTGCAGACATGTTGTTTCAGGACTAAATGTTACCTTCCTTCTGGTGTCTTCCTAAAAAAAGGTTTAATCAAAACAGTGGCTTCTGAGGGCATCTGCTGGACCCATTAAATTCAAGTCAGAGAGGTTAGCTCAGAAGGTTACGGTGACTGTTTTTTTGGATTCTAAAGTGGTAATCTTGATTTTCTTGAAGGACATAGGATGATCATGGGACCTTATTAGAAGAATGTTTTAAGAAAATAGAAAACTGCATGGGAAGTTATGCTAAGGAACTTTTTTCCATCACCTCAAATCACTTGCTCATGTTTCAAGGGCAGCAAGGGCTGTCCTATGAGAATTTTGTTGGGAAATTTTACTCCATCCATTTTACAACCCTGATCTGACTCTTTTATACTTCTTTTTGTTACCAAAACTCAAAGAACACTAAAAAAGAAATACTGAGGGATAAAAAAGAAACATGATTTGGATCCCTTAAGCATGCCCAAGCTGTCATTTTGATGTGGTCATGAATTGAAGAGTGCAGGATTCTTTGGAGAAGGGTTGCTGTTGTTGTTAAGTGCAGTGTCGAGTCAGTTCTGACTCAGAACAACACTGTATAGGGTTTCTGAGGAGCAAGTTGTGGGTTTAAACTGCCAACCTTGTAGTTAGCTGTCCAGTACTTATGCTACAGTGCCACCCAGGACTACACCACTGTCCAAAGTGTCGATAGATAGGCCTAATCTCTGGCCCCATGTTTTTTGAGAGTGGGAGAAGAAGGCCTGGTTGCAGACCTTGATTCCCATGGCTGCCACTGGGAAACTGCCCGCCTCTTGCTGTGCCCATGATTCAAGAAATCATTAAGTTGTTCAGACTGGGAGCATGAGGCAGCTGTCCCAGAACTTTCTCCTGGACTTGAGAATTTTCCAGAAAGTCTTAAAAGACAGTGGAAGTGCTGGAGGTTAGGAGGCAGGCTTGTAGAATGTCTTCTTTGGTTGTTTAAATGAGTATATATTCCTGAGTGTTTTTGTGCACAACCCCCTTTCCTCCCCCACAAAAAAAGAGCGAATAAAAGCAAATACTATTGAATGATGATGCATGGCAGAGATTGTAATTATTGCAATGAAACGATGGTGTAAAGCCAATGTTCTCCCATGTTCCCATATCACTCAGTTCACAATAAAAACTTAAAAAAAAAAAAAAGACAGTGGAAGGAGGATCCACCAAATGTCCATAGTAACGGAAATCTACCTTTTAGTGTATGAGCTCCACTAATTATCAGGAGGCTTGAAAATGCGTCCCTTGTGGCAGAACCTGGCTGACTTTGACTTTTCCAGAGGAAGTGCAGAAAGCCTGTAGCCAGCACAGGAAGTGAACAGCATAGTTGAATCTCCATCATGACCCAGCCCCTCTGCTGTGTTCTGCAAGTCTGTACATCAGGCAGTTCTCCCCAAGCCTGGGTGGACCTGGGAGTGGTGGCTTCGCTACCGTGATAGGGCTGAAGATACAGCAACTGTTCAAGTTGGTGGGGAAAGTTGTTCATAAAGTACACGGGGGCTTTAAAAAGGTTGTGGGGGAACTCCATTATCTTTTAATTCCACGAACTCTTTGAAGTCCCTTTGTGTTTTAGTTCAGAAGGAAGTAATGCTATGGAGGGCTGGGAATGTTATTTCCTGAAGCCCAATACTTAGATATCACTGGGAAACTGCTACAGTTGGCAGATGTGGACCTCTCTCTCTGGCCCTGTCAGCTCATTCTCTCACATACACTTCATGAGCCTCTGTGATGTTCACCAAGAAATGTGCAATGAAGACTCGCACCTCTTTACCTATAACTTCTAAGAATTCAGAAGGAAGAGTAGGATCAGGAGAGGTATGGACTTTAGCTGTTATTTGAGAGACTAACATTACACAGTATTGGGGTTCTTTTATGCTTACTTACTCTTTTCTTACAGGGAATGACAATTAAAACACCATTGATCAGATATGATTTCTTTTCTTTTACTATACAGGTTGGTGTAGAAAATAAGCGTATTCAAAGAAAAAAAATTTTTTAAGAAGTGTGTGGAGGATATGCCGAGAAACAATATGACATTTATGAAAAACAACAGCCTCACATTTTTATATTTTTGCTTAGTATAGATTTCTATGATTTTGTGATGGAAGGACTCTTGGTGTAGTGTTATAGGATAAGTACTGGACTTTGAGCCACAAGGTCGGCAGTTCAAACCCAAACCCTACATAGGGTCGCTATGAGTTGGAACAGACTCAACAGCACTGACAACAACAATGATTTTGTAGCAAGCAATACTTTCTTATTTAAACGTTTTCTTGTGAATTGAGGGGAGGTTAACAGATAAGACCACCAGCTTTGCATTCAACAGATGACACTCTTTGTCTCATCTAATGACTGCAATCCCCTCCCTGCCACAGCAGTTCCCCTGCTTTCTCCCTGGGGCTTCCCTTTTACATCTTACATTTCATAAATGAACAGAGCAAAACCAAAAATTATATATTCATTTAAATGTCTTAAGGGTGTATTCTATAGCAATACTTTTTGACTGACTTGTATTTATGATCTCACTTGATATCCACCATGCTATCAAAGGAGTACTGGTGTAGGATCAGCACTGGCCTGCTAGCCACAGGTCGGCAGTTCAAACCCACCAACTGCTCCTTGAAAACCCTCTCCAGGATCACTATGAGCAAGAACAGATTTAACAGTACGTCACCACCACCACCACATTCTATCAGTAAAATTCTAGATGGGGCCAGCTTCTGTGGGTATTGTTGTATATGTCCAGTCTATAAGAAATGAGTATATGATGTGGTGGTAGTGTTAAGTGTCATTGAATTGGTTCCATCCCATAGCGACCCTGTATAGGGTTTCCAAGGAACAGCTGGTGAGCCTGAACCAGCGACCTTTTAGTTTCAAGCCAGTTTTGTAGTCTAGCACATTAGCTCAGAATACCACACCAGGACTCCAAGATTATGTGATGTAGGTATAGCCGGGGGTAGGTTTCATCACTCATTTTTATGTATACTTCTTCCTAGTTTTGAATCAGCAATATTTGGAAACTCTTGCAATGCTTGAGATCAAACAACAGAAAATGGCTCAGGAAAACACGTGCCGTAGTCCAAGCAGCTGCTTTACAGAGGCTTCAGGTCTTGAGGTAAGTAAGCATGTATGAAGGCTGAACGGCAGGGACATTTTAACCTTTCCTTTCCCCTCATTGCCCTTTTAGTATTTTTGCTGGGGTAGCAACATCCTTAGTGTACATGGAGACTGGAGTGAAGGAGGCCCCTGGGTCATGCTCAGGTGAGTTCTAAGCTTTATAGGTATCATGCGTGACCTTCATAGACACTGGGATGTGCTGGCCACTTTCTGCCCCTTGGATTTCTTACCTTTACAGGAAAAAGCAGCTGCTGTTAGGCAGTGTTTCCTACCTGGGAAAGGCCTTAGTTGCGGAAGACTTTCACACACAGTGTTGGATCTGATCTTCATAGACATTTTATGAGGGCAGCCAAACAGGCATTACCATGTACAGTTTGGAAAGGAAGAAATTTAGGCTTAGTTAGGTGAGATTACTTCCTCAAAGTGACATGGGTAGTCTGTGGTTGAGGCACCTTCAGAACCCAGTCTGCTCTTGTGTTGCTAACTCCTACTGTGGTGTTAAATGTCTTTCAATGTAGGAGTTTGGCTAATTAAAGCTGCAAGGGTCCTGGGACTTTACAAGAAGTCAGAAGCTAACAGTGAGTGAGAGGGGCCAGCACTCATTAACTGAGCAGAACTTTTTTTTTTTTTTTAGCCTTTTTTCCAGCTTTAATCACACACCAACTTTGTCAATCACATGTAATTACCCTTTAAGCAGCTCTGGACTAGTTTTTTGTTTTTTTGTTTTTAATGTTTTATTGTGAATTATGTGCTAGTTTACAAGGGAGAACATTAGTTTTACATTCATCCTATCGTATATAATTTCATTGCCATGGTTATGAGCAGAACTTTTCAGAAAGCAGTTATTCATATTTGTCATTGTTAAATGCCCTCAAGTCAATTCCAACTCATAGTGACCGTGTATAGGGTTTCCAAGGAGCAGCTAGTGGGTTTGAACCGCTGACCTTGTAGCTCAAGTGACCTTGTGGTCCATCACTTATCCTAGGGCCCCACACCATGACTTTAATTGCTAATCATAGCAAACACTTATATAGGCATTAATAAGTGTTAGATACTGTTCTAAATGCTTTGCTTTATATTAATGCATTTAATTCTCACATTAGGTGGTACTGTGATATTCCCCATCTAACAAATGAGGTCATGAGGCACAGCAAAGTTAAGTAACACTTGTAAATGTCACACTTTTAAGTGGTGGAGCTGGGATTTGCATCCAGGTGCTGTGTTGTAAGTATTGGATCGCAAGGTCAGTTTGAAGTGTTAAGTCAGAGGTTCAAACTTAACCAAGCAACCACTCCTTGGAAACCCTGTACAGGGTAACTGTGAGTCAGAACTGACTTGACTTAACAACAAAAACAACAATCTGGATTGGGAGTCCTGGTGTGGTGCTGTAGGGTAAGCACTGAACTGCTAACCATAGGTCGGTGGCTCAAATTCAGCAGGTGCTCCTTGGGAACCCTGTACAGGGTGACTATGTCTTGAAACTGACTCAACCACACTTAACAACAACTGCTCTGGATTTAGTCTGCTTTTAAACACCACATTCTGTTGTTTTCCAGCAGGATGGAAAAATAGTGTAATTACAAGAAGGAAAGACAAAAGAAGTTTTCACTGAGAACATTCAGAAACTTGCTTTATGCCAAACAGTAAGAGGGCCTTGACCCAGTGGGTGAAAAGCCAAGGTGAAGAGATAGAATTAGGATTCCAAGGGCCTGGCCGAAGCCGTACGTTTTTATATTGGCCCTCCCAGATCTTAGTTGCTCTTGGCATCTTTGGCTGGAGGTGGTTGTTAGAAGCAGGAAAGTAAAAAGGGAAAATACCTACTGCCCATTTGTTCAGTCTACAGAGACTCAACTCTGTGCTTCAGAAGTATCTCTGGAATGAAGAAAATTTTTCTGAACTGGCCTTTATACTAAAAGAGCAGTGGAGGCTTCTTCTCTCTACAAATCTCTAAAATAAGATTTTATTTTTAAACCAGTCCATTCATGTGAAATTTACAGCATCAGGAGGTATAGACCATGATTTTGTAGTTAAGTTCCACATGAAACTTTAAAATTGCATAGACTGCCTTCTTTATATTAGTATAATTAGAATATGCTCAAATGTGTCAATTCTTCTACAGTCTTCCTTATTCACTGTCCAGCTTTCGCATGCATATGAGGTTATTGAAAATACCATGGCTTCAGTCAGACACACCTTAGTCCTCAAGCTGACATCTTTCCTCTTCAACACTTTACTTCTGGTTAATTGTGGTTCATTGTCAAAATGGATAAAAGAAGCCAAATTTTTACTTTTCTTCCAGCTACAGTGGTCAACCAAGAGTGACCCACATATGGACTGCTTTCTTCATTGTCGTGCAGTCAGGTTTTGAGGGATGAGGGCCACAAGTCATTCTATCAGGATTACTGAGTATTTTTTTTTAATGGAGAGTGTGGTGATTATGTTTTTTTCATTAACATTAAAACTACTTGTTTCTAAGCATGCAGCTCTCCCTTGAGGGAGTGTTAAGGCTTTGAGAGTGAAAAGGAGGAAGGATGAATTCCTTTATGTTTTTGTTTTTCCCAAGTAATAACAGTCTTTCCTCTTTTGTGATTAATGTCCCCAAGATCTTTAAATCCTAGTTCCAGCTTTCCTTTCCCCATTTTCTCCCCCTTTTGAATTTTTTTTGGATTAGATATTTGAATGGTAACATGCATGGATATGTGTGTGGCTGCCTTGTGTTTTGTGTACTAAAGTAGTGTACGCTTCATGATGGGAAGAATGCTTTTGGATTTAAAGGTTGCAGTCCTGGGAGCCTGCCTTTGTCATGGTCCAGGAGGGAACCCCTGTCCCTGTGCCAAAATGGCAGCGTCCACTCACAAACTGCTGCTTCAGCTCAAACAAGAGGTACTGTATTACCAGAATAGCCAAAACCTTGGTTCTGTTTCTCTATCAATCAGAATAAATGAAAGTATCTACAATAATTAACTTCATTTTAGTAGGCATTGTCTGCAGAATTTATACTGTTTTATATGATAGCATTAACTTATACACTAGGCTGTGTTTGTATGGTTCAAAATACAAGTAGTACTTGGCATTGTATCTGAAGCCATGTATAGTTGCTTACTCAAGTCTGTAGTTAATGTTTCTTAAATTCATATTTCTCTTCTCTATACATGGTCCTGGAGAATTGACTTTGCAGCCTTTGCCATCCTCTCTTTTTTCTCATTGGGCCCTTCCTCTTGGGATTTGGGCAGGACCCACACAGGGCCATCTAGAGCAGTGAGGTCTAAGAGTTGGGTTCGCAGGGGGTTGACAGGTCCCGCCAGGGAAGCCGTTGATTTAGTTTAGAGTCGGCCGCTACTGAAGAAGAGAATCAGCAAGTAGATGAAATGTGTTCATCTAATTAGATGAAGTGGATCAAAGACAGGCAGTAGACCTATGCCAGACACTGAGGTCACTGGGAGCAGAGTCAGTATTTAGGCAAGAATTGAATGTGTTAACCTCTGATACCTTCCAAACTTTCTTTCAAAAACAGTTGGAACTTTTGCAGAAGAGTAAAGAAGAAGCTTACATAATGGCAGATGCATTCAGAATTGCATTTGAGCAACAGTTAATGAGGAAAAATGACCAGGCACTAAGATTGACACAAATGGATAATATGTATAAAAAAGCAACGAAACAGATAAACTGGAAGCACCTTAAAGAGGATGGTAATTATGAGTTATATTGGCGATCATTAAGTGTACTTTTAGTTTTTGGGTTATACTCAACACTAATTATATTGATTTAACTGGACATGGTTAAACCCACATGTTTACTATAGCTAACATTATTCACATATTGTTGTTGTTAAATGCTGTCAAGTTGGTTTCAACCCATAGTGACTCTATATAGGGTTTCTGAGGAGTGGCTGGTGAGCTTGAACTTCCAGCCTTGCAGTTCAAACTGACTTTGCAGTCTAGCGCATTAACCCACAGTGTCACATTAGGACTCCTATTCACATATAGTTGTAACTTATTTAAAAATTTAACAGTTGTGGAGAAAACCAGGACACTGAATGTCACAGATGCTTTTGGGGTCAACAAAACCAAAGAATAACAGGATAATTCATTTTTTAGTATTCTTCTTTTTCATTTCAAAAACACCGAGTTGTTAGTACCATGGAGTCAGTTCCAAGTCCTGGTAGCCGCGTGTGTGCAGAGTAGAATTGCTCCATAGGGTTTTTAAGGCTGTGACTTTTCATAGGCAGATCCCTTGGCCTGCCTTCTGAGTTGCTTTACTTCAAACCACTGACCTTTTGACTAGGAGTCCAGCACCACCCAGGGGAACCTGGCATTTGTGGTATTAATTTGAAGGCAGATCCCTTTGGAAATCAGGTTTTAATTATTTGTTTAATTCTTTGATTGTACGAGTTTATATGTGTGATGGTAGAGAGTGAACGGAAGGAGAAGGAATCTTCTGTACCCATGACATTTTGACACCTGGATGGGGAACCCTCCAACTGTGCATAAGGAGAGTACTGTGCAGACAAAGCCAGGGTTTTTCTTAAATGGTAAATTCACATTCATTTCTGCACCTGAGTAAGTACTGAGATATTCCAGAATCCCCACCCCTCTCAACAGTTGACAAACCTTAGGAATTGTTCCTTAGACAATATGGCTCTGGGAACTATAGCCCAAATCCTGTGTCTCAGTGAAGTACCAACACAGGAAGCTACCTTTCATATAACCACTTCATCTTTCCAGAACTTTGACAATTTCATACAAGTTAGTGTTAAAATTGATTCCTTCTGTGTGTTTCAGTAGTCAGAAGAGGCACAGTCTGATGACTACAAGTTGATGAACGTGTCATCTTGTCTGGCTCTTCTGCTCCCCTGCAGTTTGTCACAAAGTGGTCATGGTGTTCTGAACCCCAGACACACAGAAGGAAAGACAGTAATCTCTTATCTGCTGTTTTCCATTAGGGAGAGAGACCATTTGCAGAGCATTCCAAAAAACATTTTTGACATTTTGTTTAAATCAATAAATTTGTACCTTGTGCTACAGATTCATCCTTCTGCTCCAGTGGAGTGTTAAACATTAAGCAGTGATAGACTGGGTACTTCCATAGCTGGTGTTTGGAGTGCCATGGTAACCCTGAGGAGTTGGGGAAATATTAGAAAATGAAATTCAGAGAACTTAACGTAACTTGTCCAACGTCATACAGCTAGCAAGTGGCTAGATGAGGATTTAAATACAAATCTTTCTGGCCCTTTAAATCCCAAACTTTCAGTGTTTGCATGGCTCAGAGGCCTTGAGTGGCCTGCAGACATATTTTGCTTTGTGTGTTCAGTAATGTGGATTAGTAGCCATCCATTAAAAATCAGAAGAGTTTACATAAAATCTGGATTTCTGACTCTCTTAAAGACTCCACTGATCTGGTAATTATAGGGGTTGCATTCTCATCTGACAACTGTCAGTGGGAGCGAGTTGTAGCTGTGCCAACAAAGCAAGGCAGTGCTCTCGGTTTTTAACACACTGTTTGGTGTCCTGATTCTATAGCTACCCTTCCCACTACACCCTGCGGACAGTCTCAGCTGTCCTCAAAGTCTCCTGAAGAAGAGAACTCCTGACTGATTAAGGAATTCATTAACCTTAGCTCATAGTTACCCATTTTATTGGGAAGTACATCTGTTTTGTATTTTTCTGTCTCAGCTGAGTTTTCATGTTCAATTTTAGGTTTCCTATCACAAAGGACTAAGAAAACCTTAGGGCAGAAACTGTTCAGTATGCTTCCTTCCGAAAACAGTTTGAAAAGAACTGAAGACCAGGAGAATCCTCAAGACGTTTGTAAGACATTAATAGATTTGGTTAGTATTTTAACTTTCTTTTTGTTAGAGGTTGTGGTTAAGCTAATTGAGTTTGGGAGTGTTATTATTGTTAAGTGCCATTGAGTTGGTCTGACTCTTAGTGACCCTGCATAGATTCCAAAGAGCAGCTGGTGAGTTTGAACTGCCAACCTTGTGATTAGCAGTCCAGTGCTTATCTACATACTTATCTCCATTCATGATCTTCATCTGAATTTTCTCATCATTTCTGTCTGTGCATGTTTAGATTAACACTCCACCTCTGAAAAGAGGGGGCTCCCATAACTGACTCTAGGTAGACTTTTCTTCTGCGTTTATATGTACAATTAACGACAAGATCAATTTATTTAGACACTTAAAAGGTTCTAATGTTATTTCTGACATACTATCATATTCATATCCTTTAATCATTATCAGAACCTCCCAAGTGAGTCATGATATCCCCATTCCATAGATTATTAAACTAAGACACTGAATCACATTATATCAGCAATACTTACCTCTCAGAAAAGTGTTATTTGCTTATATATAGATATTATACATCTATGTTAAGTGCTATCAAGTCGGTTCTGACTCATGGTAACTCTCTATAGGGTTTCTGAGGAGCCGCTGGTGAGTTTGAAACGCCAACTCTGCAGTGCAAACCGACCTTAAGGTCCAATGCATTATCCTGCAGTACCCTCTTCGTTGTTGTTGTTAAATACTGTTGAGTAGGTTCTGAATCATAGCCGTCAAGGAGCAGCTGGTGAGTTTGAACTGCCAACCTTGTGGTTCAAATAGACCTTGAGGTTGAGTGCTTATCCTGCAGGCATCACACCAGGACTCATATAACACCACAATTTTATATTTAAAAACTTACATTATTTCAGAAGTGAAGTGTTGGTATTATGTTATGCTAGTAAAAACTTAGCAGTTTGAATCCCCCAGCAGCTCAGCAGAACAAAGGCCTGGTGATCTGTTTCCATTCAGATTACAGCCAGGAAAACCGTAAGGGGCATTTCTACTGTCACATGACAGCCCTATGATTATAAAATCGAGTTGATGGCACCAGATAACAAAATATATATACTGTATCTATTTTCTCTCTCCCCAGATGACTTACAATATTCTCAGTAAAAGGAACACTGTTTATTTCCTTTTTAAAAAATGTCTTGGTAACACGTAGCATCATGCTTGGGAATTATTGGGTATACCTAATTAATTCACACTGATTGACTTGACAAATCTGAAGACTGAATATTTTTATAAAACACTGTAATATTCTTTTCTCTGAAGATAGCTATATATCCTATGATCGACTAACTGGTACATTTTTTATCTCTGTGCATGCAGTTAAATGATAAAGAAGAAGCTTTGGCTCATCAGAGAAAAGTTAGTTACATGCTTGCTCGGGCATTGGAAGACAAAGATACAGCTTTACAACAGAACAAAGAGAAAAATCCTATGAAAGAAAAGTTTTCATTCAGGAACTCCTGGCTTAAAACCTCAGAATTGGCAGTTTTGCATGATCCTATGTATTCAAATGTCCAAATTTTTAATTCTCTGGGCTTTATGTCTTCAATCCATCACCCTCAAAACTACACAAGAACTCTTAAAAAGTCCCATTCTTTGCCATCAGGTATCATGTTTTGAATGTTGCTACACCTTCAGAAGTTGTATGTTTTCCTGGTATTTCTGAATTTTAGGATATAGCTTAAATAATCAAGTGTTATGATAACATTTTCTATAAGAAATCTATTAGTATCCTGTCCTGATGTATTTTATTTATTAATAAGTTTACATTGATGTATTTTATGAACTTTTCAATTTGCTAAAATATTAAAAATAAAACAATTTGTAGGGGGGAAAATAAAAATATATCATTATGTAAGTATTTATATTGACTAGACTAGGAAAACCTTCAATCCCTATAGTAGGGGTAGGGAATGTCTGACCTGTGGGCCGTATGGTGGTAGTGGTATACCTGGAGACGGTTCCAACTCATAGCGACCTTGTACAGGGTTTCCGAGGCTGTAAATCTTTATGGGAACAAAAAGCCTCATCTTTCTCCTGCAGAACAGCTCATAGTTTAGAACTGCTGACCTTAAGCCTAGCAGCCCGACTTGTAACCACTACATTACCAGAACTTCTTTGTGGGCCGTATAAGCTCGTGAAATCATTTGGTCTGGCCCAATCAAGGCAACCACAGGTGGGACTCGAAATTCAATAAATCTAGCAGCTTTATTTGTAGCTACATAACTTTATATTAAATGATATTATAAACATCTAAATGGCCCTTGGCAGAAAAAGATGCCCCACCCCTGGCCTATAGGAATATTAAATTGGTTAAAGTAACCATACACCACTGCAAATTATTGCTCTTAATCAGTAACAGTGCCTAGGAGTGTAGTAACTTTTTAAATAAGTTTATGTTGCTTCCTTTGCCTTTTTCAAGATTTTTTATTTGCCATGTAAAGTTTAAAAAAAATTCTTAAATTTACTTCAATAAAAAAATTATGATGGTGGGACTCTGACAGAAGTCTGTTTCGAGTCGTTGTTGCTAGGTGCCCGTCGACTCCGTAGTGCCTCATAGCAACTGTATGCAAAACAAAATGAAACCATCCAGTACTGTGCCAACCTCACAGTCTTTTCTGTTTGGGCCCATTGCTGCTGCCACTGTGTCAGTTCATCTCGTTGGGGGTCTGCCTTATTTTCTCTAAACCTCTATTTGACCAAACATGATGTCGTTCTCCAGGGACTAGTCCCTCCTGATAATATGTCCGAAGTATGAGAAATGAAGTCTGGCCATCACCATTCAGGCTTCCAAGGAGCATTCTGGCTTCTAACATAATCCCTGGTACTTTTTTTTTTTTTTTAGTGGTGAGGGATTTTTTTACATTGAGGTGTAATGCCTTCTTAAGGCAAACAATACATTCATGATATGTATAGTAATGTACTCCATAATAAGAATATAGAACAATTTTTCCAACCTAAGTTGCCCCTTTGTAGCCCTTTGTAATTTATTCCCACAGAAAAGACACTCTTGCTTCAGTTACTATATATTAAATATTGCTTTGGGGTAGAAATTCATAGCAATATAATAATGAAATATGATTTCTCATGTCTATTTTCTTTCTCTTCACATGATAATTATCAGATTCATTGATAATATTGAGTATGCAATTTGTTCACTTATATTGATTAGATTATTCAATATCATGTATATACTATAATTTGGCCATTTACATATTGATGAAGATTTTTATTATTAACTCTTTTGCCAATTATGAATAAAACTGCTGTAACCATCCTTTGCAAATATTTTAGATACTATAATTTCTCTACTTTGGGTTAAAAAGATGTAATCTTGGGGTGATGCAAAAAGGTTAAGTGTTCTACTCCTAGCTAAAAGATGAGTAGTTTAAACTTAACTGGATGTACCTTGAAAGGAAGACCTGGTAATCTGACTCCAAAAGGTCATGGCATGGAGAACCTTAAAGTGCAATTTTATTTTGCATACACACGGTCACCATGAGTTAGGTGATAACCAACAAAAACAGCAACCTAGTGAATCTATGTTTAACATTATATGAGAAACTACCAAACTTCTTTTGAAATTTTATCACCAAAAAAATACAAAAGTATTCTAGTGAGTGAGAAATAATACCTGATTATGCTCTAACTTGAATGATCAGTGATGTTCCGTATCTTTTTTTTTTTAAACTTTTTACATCTTTTTTTTTTTTTTAAGGTTTTCATTGTGGATTGAGTAAAGGTTTACAGGGCAGACCATCAGTTTTATATTCAACAAATTACATATACTTTGTTTCATTACGATGATTATAATCCGCTCCATGTACCATCAGTTAACAGTATTTCTCTCTATCCATTCCAACAAGATGGATTGGCCAAGTGGCAGCTTCAATGGACTCAAGCGTGAAAACAGTACTGAGCGTGGCCCAGGATCGGGCATTGTTTCATTCTGCTGGGCATAAGGTTGCTATGAGTTGGTACCAACTCGAAGGCACCTAACAACAACTTTAGCTTAAAAAAAAACACAGAAAAACACTCAGGCATATATAATAATTTACTTCTCCAAAGGGCACATTCTGCAAGTCTGCCTCTTGGCCACCAGCTCTTAGTCCCTCTCTTCCCATGAATCTAGAGTCCTCAGCCGCTCCCCATCTCCATGCCCCCATCTCTGCCTCCGTCTCTAGCATCTCTGGATAAGTTCCTGCATTCTGCTTGTGCTCTTCTCCCTTGATGGCCCTAGGGTCATCTATCTCTGGACTGTAAGATTAACCACTCCCCTGTTTTTGTTACAGAAATTCTACCTTTACAGTTGTGACAGTCGCAATGAGTCTTGATAAACATTATTCACTACTGAATCATAAGAACCCTATTCCCATCTCTTTTCACCATACTCACCTAGATAAGATGAAATCTCTTCAGTGGGGACTCTTTCTTTGCCCCCATACTCTTAAACTCCCTATTGAAACCTTGTAAGCCAGTCACTTCATGCCTTTATCACACCCTCATTTTAGGTAGCCAATGTCTAAGTT